ATTTGAATTCAACTCGGGCATCATTTGTATCTTTGTTGCTGACTTTCTTAAATTTCCTTGTTTTCTCTGTTATTTTAACTCAAGGTAACTAATTCAGGTGAGCAATTCTGACTTAAGAACATTTTTAATCTGTGGACATAGAAAACAGATTAACCTCAATAAGTGTTTCACATATAACCAATCTTGTCTACAGATGCCATTGATTAATTGAAAAGCCTGATGAAGATGTGTCCGCTGTGGGCTTGGTCTGTTGAAGCTGATGCCAGTGCTGTGACAGATTTGCAACAACAGATTAAAGTTGGATGGATGGAGCTGTTATCATCTCCCCCTCTCATTTGCCCTGTCCTGTTAAATGATGCTGCTGTCTCTGTGGCAGGGCCTCTGATCCACAGGGAATCAGGTCCTGAACTGGCATGGATTTCGGTCCAGGATAGCAAAGCAAACTGAACTCTCAGGAGCAGTAATCGCTAGGGTTATCCTACATAAATTTGCCACCATAAGTCTGTCAGAGCCCTAAGTAACAAGATGTACTGTCCCACTGGAAAATATATAAAACCATGCTATCAAATATTTCCTTGAAGAGGAAAAAAGGCTACCATTTGCTGACAACAGAATTTCTGAAATATGAATTAACATGGCTCTGCTGTTACCTAACCTGAAATGACCTATCTATCTGAGGACTAAATGTGTTCTTGTACAAACACGCTAGAGCGTCTTTGTGGGATACGCAAGACCTTGTCATTTCCTTTTCTATAATAAAGCAAGGAGAAACGAGATGCACCAAACAACCTACAAAACGCTTTCATGTTTGTGTGTTGTCTTTGCTTGTGCAGATCCGTGGAGTGCTCTGTGATCAGAGTTAAATGGGACCTGAGTTGCTGAAATGAGGGCTAGGAAAACAAGCATGACTCTGTTTTCTGGCTTCTTTGCATATGACAGCTTGAACATTACTCCACAATAAGGCCAGGCCTGACTTGTCAGTACGGTGGCAAACAGTGTGAAGGAGAGACACGATGTTCAATATTTACAAATTATCACCCAGGCTGTAATTAGGGAGAACGAAACTTATAGGAAAAGGATTGCCATTGGGAAGCCATTAATGGTACACAAACACTCAAGACCAAGCCTGGTGGGAAGCATCAGCCATAGCACTTGAGGTTGCCAAGCACGCTAATATGACACATCATTACTAGCCACTTGCAATGGTTGACCAAAATCCATTTTCTCATCAGTTGTACAAGCTGCTGTCTGCTGAGGGATGGAAAAATGAGCACATCATGACACAGGCTTTGAAAATATCTCTTACAAAAGGAATAATCCATCCACAGCTATTGCTTGCTGGTAGTTATCGCAGGCCAAAGCGTACAAGTCTTCTGTAGACACTTGAAAGACACGCTGACACACAAGTCACGGGAAGGTCACAAAAGAATGAACAGCATCCATCATTCAAACCAAGTAGAGAAACAAAGGGATTACTTGTTTTCTTTCTGCAAGTGATAGACAGCAGCTAGTGCTTTGACCTGTACTCAGAAAGTGTATCTATCGCCTAAGTATTTTGGTTCTAATTCAGCAAAACTCTTGAGTGCTTAAGTTCAACTGAAATTACACTTGAATATGTGCTAAGGAGAACTGGGACTACTGGACCTTTGAGAGGTGGGACTGAATTTTTAATTCTCCAAAGTTTTCCTGCTTCTTCAGGATGTATTTCAGCAAAGTGTGTTTGCAGTGACCTGGTCTGAAGGTTCCAAAAAACCAGAAGACCCTGGGTCAAATGCAGATAAAAAGAGGCACCGAATATCACAGGCATCCCACTGAGGAACAGCAGAGTTTTTATGATGTGAGGAGTATGAAAAAACAAATACCTAAAAAAAGGAGTTGCACACTGTACTCTTCACATAACTCCTATGTCCTCCCTAAGCTGTAAATGTCTCACAGTAGAGCACGTGCCTTCTGATTTCAGGCACCTGGAGGGAAGATTCACAGTGTGCTGGTGACATGCATTGTGGGGAACCATCTTCCCTAGAGCTGCTCGTAAATCCTAGCCTAAGCTTCCCGTAGGTGGGAATTGGGAGATTTCTGTCTGGGAGGATGCTTGAAACACCTCAAAAGCATACAAAGGAAGGCACAATGATGGAGCTTAAATATGAGAGGAAAGATGACTTGTTTTTCATTTGTTGCGCGTGTTTTCCTTCCTGTAGTGGTGAAACACAGCACCTATTATTCCTGGCATTCTTTGCATTACACTGAATCCCACCCTTGCTCTTGCTGTTAAGCGTTTTGGTTCTGATCTCACTTGCTAAAGGAGTCTAAGGAGGAATGTTCTGCCTCCAGAGCGCAGACTCAAACCAGCACTGTTTCACCAGGTGCAGGCAGAGCAGCCTATCCGAGGATACTGGCTTCACATCCCAAGATGTGGTTTGAGGGGAAAAGTCAGGCAGTGCTTATGGTTCTAAATCCCTCTGCAGCGCACTCTGGTATTTACTGTTGGACAGCTAGGGACCCTGTTTTCGGACACTGGAAGAGCAGGGAGGATTGTAAACTGAAGACTGAGGGGCATACTGGGTCGGAAGTCTATTTGGGAACGTATTAAATCGAGAACATAGCACAGAATATACTCCAACAAAGTAGGTGCCTGCCAAGTAACCCTGGATTTTTTTTCCTGTGCTGGTGGTCAATCGGCCTCATCCTCATCTAACTGTTGTGCCACCTATTATTTTCTCTCGCCACTGCAGTCCCACCTCTGTTCTGTGGGTTTAAACTCGTTGCAGTAAACAATATACCTGCCTCCGTGCTGTGTCAGAATTAGAGCACTTTTGGAATTTTCTGCTTAATTTAGTATTTGTCGGAACACGTTGACTTGTCAGAAGTGAATCTGCTGGAATGTATCAGTTTTAGCAGCCTCCTGGGTGGAAGCGCTGGCTGCCAGGAGGCAGGAGGTCAGCCCAGGCTCCCGCTCCTCCCGCTGCAGGCACCCGCGCTGGGTGCGGGCGAGGCAGGGACGTGGGCACGGTGGTTCTTGGATCGGGAGTGACTTCTGGGCGTTTCACGCAAATTTTGAAAGCTCTTGGTTTCATCTCAGCACAGAGAAGGAAAAATTCTGTAATAGCAAGAATTTTTAGAGGATGAAAAAACTGTTTCATGCCCTATACAATATAGGAGTCAGCGCTTTGTATACTGGGGCTGTTTTCTAATTATGGCACTATCCCTGCTCTTTTTTTCTTTTCTTTTTCTTTTAAAATTAAATCCGTGTTTGGTTTGTTTCCAGGATACTGTTATTACTAGTTAATGTCAGAAAAGGTTGTTGATTTGAAGGAAGATCTTCACTTCTCTATACCAGAAGTGTGGCTTGTTCTTACCAGCTAAGACTTGCAAATAGCTTGTGTTTTTCTGATTTTTATCCCCAGTTCTCGATCATGGTTCTTATCAGTAACAGGGAGGAAGAACAATTCTTTGCTTTCAAAACCTATTATTTTGTGTAATTAATGAGGTAAGCCACAGAAAGAGTTCAGTGGACACTGAAATAAAATGTCACAAGGAATGCAGGAGAATTATTGATGGATTGTTTTAACCAATCTAATGGAAACACTGAATTTCTACACAGCTGAAACAGCTCTGGTCTATAGTCATCTTTTCGTTTTGCTTGAAGACTTAATGAAATAAGAAGTCAATACAGAGCTCCTGGTTCCTATTATTAGTTTGTAATTTTCAAGCTTATCTATTTTAAATCCTTTCAGTGGTCTTAGGCATTTCTATATTAGCAACAATTGCTTAACTATAGCCAAACTATATTTTCCCAAACTATGTGATCATGTTGCTATTAGAATGCATAATTGTTTTCTCCATGAAGCAGCTAAATATGGCTTAACGACTGTGTCATGGCATTAACAGAAAATGTCTGGTGTGACAGGGCATAGCGTGGACACTGCACTGAAACGCTCATAACCACAGTTCATTTAATTGATCTTCCGAGGGGGTGAAATATCACACTAGTCATCTGCCTTTGGTTTTTCAAGCCACATCAAACAATTGTGTGGAGAAGCAAAAAAAGAAAAGTGCTAGGTTGTTTGATTTCATCAGTTAATGGCCACAGGTCACTTGATACCCCTTTGTTTACAATACAGTGATACGCCTGTATCTCGTGAAGGTTCGCCAGAGTGACTTACTGCTGTGGTACAAGGCCTAAAATAAAACTTGCACATGCCAGGCACCACATGATGCATAAAATATTCTAACAATATATTACAAAACCTTGTCAACACTAGGGAAAAGGACTATTCCAAGAAGTAGAGCTGGCTGAAAAAAACATTCTTTTTTCCAAACCGGGCCCGTATGAAAGACAGTGATTTGGGGAGCTGGAGGGGGAGAGAGAAGGGTTTCTTCCTTTGGCCTGGTGGAGAAAAGTCTCTTCCTTGGTTAATCAAAAATGTCAACAGAATAAAAGAGAGGCCAGCTTCCAGCTCAAATCTTCACATTATTTCATGTCTTTCCTATTTCTCATTTTTGAGCAGCTGTGCTGAGAACCAGCTCAGCCCCTTGAGGAACTTGCTGGATATCTTATATCCACACACTGAAGTGCTACAACTGCTTTGTGTGCAGTTGTGTCCTGAGTGTCCTGAGCAGATTTGCTTTCAGCTACCTGTGCGCTATCTTCTTCTAAACCGTACCAGTCGGCTGGTGTACTGCCAGTGGGGAAGTTCTCTCTCTTCTGCTGCTGTACAACACACCGAGGGGTCTCGCAAAATTCATTATAAGAAAATCCTTCTGTGAATTGTTCTGAAAGCAGTGAAATGGGTACTCGTGAAGAACAGTAACCGTAGCAGTTTCTAGCACAACACTATTAATGACACTAAACAAAATTACGCTGCTTCTTAAACTGAAATAGTTCAGCTAATACACACAGCCTAGAAAGAGATTTCTGTTGACTGATTAGCTGATGTTTTGTACATGAAATATAACCACTCTTTCCTTTAAATATATTTTGACAGATTAAATCTCTCACAATGAAGCCTTTTACTGCATATCCTTCTGGGTTTATCGTATTCCTGTTTGCCTTGCTGCAGCGAAGCCATGGACAATGCAAAGAAGCAGCTAAAAAATCAGAGATGGATCTGAGTGTAAAATATGATCTTCCTAACTTCATCGCAGAAACACCAATTCAGAATGTAGTTTTATACAAGCACCATGTTTATATTGGAGCAGTCAACAAGATTTATGTCCTAAATGAAACTCTCCAGAACATTTCTGTGTACAAGACTGGGCCTGTTTTGGAGAACCCTGACTGCGCGCCATGTGAAGACTGCAAAGATAAAGCCAATTTATCTAATAGCGTGTGGAAGGATAACGTCAACATGGCGCTGCTCTTAGAAACTTATTATGATGATCAGCTCATCAGCTGTGGTAGTGTTTCTGGAGGCGTCTGCCACCGTCACATCATTCACCCTGACAACCCTGCTGACATCGAAAGCGAGGTGCACTGCATGTATTCACCCCGGGTGGACGGAGAAGCCGATAATTGTCCCGACTGTGTTGTAAGCACTTTAGGAACCAAAGTTCTGGTGACCGAAAAGGACAGGTTTGTCAACTTCTTTGTTGGAAATACTGTGACATCTACACTTCAGCCTCCTTATGTGCTGCATTCAATATCAGTTAGAAGGTTAAAAGAAACGCAGGATGGTTTTGAATTTCTCACAGATCAGTCTTATATAGATATCCTCCCTCAGTTCCGTGACTCATATCCCATTAGCTACGTCCATGCCTTTGAAAATGATCACTTTGTCTATTTTCTGACTGTCCAGAGAGAATCTCTTGACTCCCAGACTTTTCACACTAGAATTATCCGCTTCTGCACTTTAGACTCAGAGATGCGTTCTTACATGGAAATGCCTCTTGAGTGTATTTTCACTGAAAAGCGGAGGAAGAGATCCATCCGAAAGGAGGTATTCAACATTTTGCAAGCTGCCTACGTAAGCAAGCCAGGTGCAGCTCTAGCCCACGAAATGGGCCTTGGGTTGAACGATGATATTCTCTACGGCGTTTTTGCACAAAGCAAACCAGACTCTTCCGAACCAACCAACAGATCTGCTGTCTGCGCTGTCTCTGTGCGAACCATCAATGAGTTCTTCAACAAGATTGTGGACAAGCAGAACATGAAATGTCTCCAGCACTTTTACGGGAAAGAGAGCAAATACTGCTTGAACAGGGTAAGCGACAATTAATTTGTTACATTTTGAGCCTCTCGTTCCCTCTTTACCTACTCCATTGCCAGGTAGAGCCATCTGCTCAGCTGCAGTTACAAAATGTAAGTCCCCGATCATTTCAGATTATTTAGAATTGCTGATGATTCATCTCTGTAAGGATTAGTTCCTGTAAATTGACTATGACAATCACTGAGGTCCATGTGGTGCTAAGAAAGTATTAGTGGAACTGGGGAAAAAAAAATCCTTTTTTTTTTATTTGTAGGTAATTCTTTTTCTGTGTTCTTGAGAGACTGTGATGCAGATAAATGGAACATTTAGGCAGTTATTTATTTCAATATCTCAAAAAAGTATTCATTAACATTCGTATCCATGTGCACCAAGGAGTCCCTGAAAATACCACTCATCTTTTAAACTGTGTTAATGCTGAATCACTGCCCTCTTTAGAAAAAAAAAATGAAAAAGCTGGTTTGGCACATGCCATGAAGAGCCAGATTGTAATACAATTACTCATGCTCAATACATAAACGGTCCCACTGAAATCAGTTTTCTTAATGAAAGAAGTGTCTACGAAAATTGTATCTGAATGAGCACACCGGTAGTCTTGGATGGGAGGGTTGCCCCTCTGTACACAGTGTGTTCAGGTGGTTGCTGCTCTCCAGCCATCTGAAATCCTGTGACTGAAAGAAGCACAGAAGTTTCTTCCCTTCTGGCCAGTGTCAGCTCTTGTGAAAGAAGTGCAGAACCTGGGAACTGGGTACTTTTAGCGTTTATTTTGAAACATAAAATGTTAGAGCTTTGAATTGTACCTGTTTATGCAGCAGGGCCTTAAATGTCCTCTCTGGGGAGCTTTCTTTTCTCAAATCTAAGAAAACTGGAGCTCAGAGGTGGCACACTGTCCTCTACCAGAGGGCAGGGCCCGGGCCCTTGTGATGGGGCTCTGCTTTGCCTCGCAAGTCAGGATGAGTCCTGTGTCAGGACAGAGAAACAGCTCAACCTGCATTTGGGGCTGGATGCGATCTATCATTCCCCGTTGTTGGGATGGCTCCTGGGGAGAGTAACAACCACAGGCCTTCATCACCCCTACACCACCAGAGTCCTCCTCAGCCCAGCTGCCCAGCACAGGCCATCAGGACAGGGTGCCCTGGTTGGAGGTGGGAGCCTCTTGCATGAAAGAGAAGGGCTGCTCTTCGCTGCTGGAGGTGGGACAGTATGGTCTGGGGAGAAGCATCCATTGCGGAGCTGCTGTGGCTTCTTTCCAGTAG